AGGCCACATTTGGTACAACTCAAGTACACATTTCACGGGTTCACCCAGCACCGCACAATCAGGGATGACCAGCTGCCAGGACGATCAGGACTACCCTGCCCTTGGGCTCATGGCTGGCTTCCCGCACATCCTTACTACCATCCAGAGTGCGCACTCTTACAGAGCGGGGCTCGGCTTGAGTTGAGCTACTCGGCTTCGCGGTCAGAACGAGTTATCCGACCAGCTAAGTGATATGCATGCGTTCAATCTTGTCAGAAGCGCCAACAACGGTACGGTCCTTAATCGGCACAGACAGTGATAGATCCACACCCAAGACCTCCATGTCTTGTTGCTTCTCTATCGACATCCCACCCGATCTCCATTCATTATTAACACATGGTTATTTCCACGATAGTAAATATAGCCAACCGTGCTTTGGTATCCACCTATATCTCGCAGGTGATAGAAAATCACCCGACTTCTACCGGTCTAAGCATTGCTAAGCATACATTCGATCCTGGACCTACATAGGGTTCAAGGTATATCTCTGGATAAGGTAGTTCTATGCATCAAGTGGTTCCAAACAACTCTTATACCCTAATGCATCAAACATAAAGAACTCAAGTGATATTTATAAAAACATAGGACGCTTAGAATGCTCCGGGGCTTGCCTAGGATCCAACACTAGATTAGTGTTTGTTAGACGACACTCGCTTGGTGAGCATCTCCCGTCCTAGCACTTGTCCAGTCCTTCCACCTTCGGGATAGGTCCACTATACATCGTCTTCGGTTTTGGTTCCAACATCACGTCCTTCACGTGGTTCCTTTAGCGTACCTAGATGAGATGCAAGTGCATGAATATGAAGAATGGTAATATGAGATGCATCACATAATAGTATTCAGGTCAAACATAAGATCATGCAAAACATATGCACCTAGAATTATTTAACTAAACATCACACAACCTTTTATAAAGGGATAGCAAGCATATAAGGCATGGAACATAAGTGAACTTAAGTTCAGATATTGCACACATGCATCGATCAAAAACTAAACTACATGTTTAGCCAAAACAATAGCAGCTAAAGCAATCACCTAACACATGTATAGAAATATGGACAGCAGCATAATAGTCACTTATTTTAACCATAACTAGATATCTAGGCATCCAAAGAAGGTGATCCTAGACTTTCTTGAAAGCTAATGAAATTGCCTACAATATTATTATTATCACCAAAACCTTATTCCACAGATAACTAGGTCAAACATGCTAATGTTTCAGATCTACATAGAATTAGGACAGAAAAGTAGTAGTAGTTTCAAAATGGCATAACTGGAGTTACAGACATCAAACAAGCATGAACCTTAACTTTCTAGAAAGCTTATTAAATTATCTAAAACATGTTTATTATCATCACAAGGTGATTCCACCATTAACAAGGTCAATCAAGCACAATTGAGCACCTCTGTCCAGACTTGGACAGATTCTGCCATGCAACTTCACAAGCTTATAACTGGAGATTTAGACCACCAAAAGAAGTGATCTTTAACAATTTGGAAAGCTCATAAAAATAACTACACTTATTCTATTATCTCCAAGACATTATTCAAAGCTTAATTGGATCAAACAACACAATCATTCAGATCTGTACAGAGAGAATGCAAAATTTGATAGGGAAATTATAAAATCTATAGCTCCTAAATTATAGAGCCTATGGTCATGAAACTTTAACACAAGCTCGATTATGAAGTTACCTATAACTTTTGTATTCACCACAAGCACAGAAAACATAATTTACACCATAAAAATAATTGCACAGGCAAAACTGCACATGCAGCCCAAACAGCAGTGGTACAGAAAACTAATAGGAACTTCAGGAAAGCATAACTGGAGTTCTAGATCTCCAACAAACATAAATCATAACTTTTTGAAAAGCTTATAAAGTTACCTACAACTTTATTATTCTCATATTAATATGATTATATAGTTAACAAGGTCAATTAATATAATAATTTTATCTCTATCCAAAACATAGACAGCATCTGACATACCACTTTAAACAGCTATAACTAGAGTTATACATGTCCAATAATTGTGGTTATAGACTTTTGAGAAAGATTAGAAAATTCTAAACAACTTTGTTATAAACGCCTAAAGCTAATTCTACTATTAAAAAGGCCCCACAGTACCAACAAGGAAGCCATGTCTAGGTTTGGGCAGAAACAGCCATAGAGATTTAAGCAAATATGACTGAAAATCTACTTAACAAAAAATTATTCTATTTAGCTTTTTGAAAATCTTAAGAAAATTATTACAACTCATGTATTGTCATAAAGTCATGATTCATAACATAACTGAGCCAATTAATTCAAACATGCAGGCCTATTCAGAATAGGAGCAAAGCAACACAGGACAATTGTTATTTTTATAGCTCTTAAACTATCAAATTTAAACTTCTAAAATTTTTACCACAGTATACACATGGCATTATTAGACTACCATAAAAATTTCATATTTATTTGAGCAAAACACCTGTATTTATGAAAAAGACAAGACACAACTAGTATTAAAAACCTAACTGCATAAATTAATTTTTACAGCAAACACTTTAAACTAAATCATGCCATACTATAGATCTACTGTATATATAATTTCACAAGGATTCCAAAAATCCTCATTTGCTATTTTTGGATTTTTCTACAATTTACTACGATTTTCCAAATTTTAGCTGATTATATGCATATAATGAAAAAGAAAAGGAAAACGCTTTTGCAATGCGGTTCCTGTAGGAAACATAAATTAAACTTCAGCGAATCGACCCTTCTCGGCACTATTCAAAAGAGTCACGGATTCTTCACTTAACCCCCTCCCTTCTCCCTTATTCCAGCGCGAAGTCCCTCATCCTCTTCATCTCGACGGCAGCGCAGGGGAGGTTGGCCGGCTCGCGGCTCCGGCGGCCATGGTCGTCGACGGTGTCGGCGAAGTTGCGAGGGAGCACCCACGGGTCTGCGCACACTCGTGGGGCCGCTCAGTTCGGCCGAAGGCAGGCCGGGTTGGCCTGGCCGCGCGCACAGGCGTCCGCGGCGGCCACGGCACTGGTGGCCGCGCGCTACGCCGGCGAAGACAAGCCGGGAAGGGGCGAGCGAGGCCAAGGAGAGGGCTGCGGAGCCGGTGGCGGTGGATTCTGGGCTGCGAGGTGCTTGGAGGTGGAAGAATGATGGTGGCCAAGCTCGAGCTCGTGGCGGCATCCATGGCGGCCGCGTCCCGGAGCGCGCGCGTAGCACCAGAGAGCGAGGGAGGGAGAGTGGAGAGGCGAGTGAGGGATGGAGCAGCTCGGGCGCTCGGTTGAAGGAGCAGGGGCGCGACAGGGAGGCAGGGCACGCGGTAGCGGCTGGGGCGCGCGCTTCCATGCACGGCGGACACGTAGGCAATCTGTCGAGTACGTGGCGTGCGTCGTTGTGCCCAACTTGGAATCCGTTTTTGGGCCGGTTTTGCTCCGAACTGGGCTATGGGCCTTTAAGCAAAGTTGTTCATCTTCTGATGCTCTACAAACTTGATTAAGGGAGCAAGGCCATTAGAGCTATGGATGAGCAGGTAATTTAGCTCCAAAGTGATAGTGTCAATGTATTGACAGCGACAAACAAAAATCCAAATTGATGGTCCAAACGAAATCAAACGAGTGCCAACTTTTTACATGATCTTCGCCACAATGTATACTCCAACTTTTATTTTGGGACCCGATCATGTTGCTTAACAAATCACGAGAACGCGAGATGCCACTGTCGACGACGATGGATTCTGGACTTAGAAAAATTCTAAGTACTAAAAACAGCTACCGATTCAAAGTTTGAGCCTCGGTTTGACCTTCTTACAAGCTGATCTAGCTCATGGTCCGAAAGCAAAGTTTGTTCTACTGCAATCAAACTTCAATTTTTATTTAAGGTGCAACTCCATGCAAGCATTGTAAGCGATTGGTCAACATAGGTCAAATTAGCATCACGGTAAAGCTCAAATAAGAGTTTTAGACCGATTGAGGCATTTTCTTGACTTCTGTTCAACACGAACCCTTCATGATTTTTGTTGTAGAGTTCATTTATAGTCATTTGGGCAAGGTAGCAAGGTTTGGTTGATGACCTATAATTCCATTCACTTAATAGTGTGATTCAAGCAAGAACGTAACTCATCATTTCATGTGACTTCTTGATTCCAAACTTCATGAAACTTTTCCACTGGTCTAGATGGATGCATGTTGATGTAATGTATATAGAATAAGCATATTTAACCTCACTCTTGCATAATCTTAACAAGGGTACGCATGCAAGCAAATGTGGGTTGTCCAAGTTTAAGTTGGAGCTCACTCTTGTAGACTTGATCTTGACACATTCATCACCATTTAACATGTCATGTTTGAGTTCAAACCCATTGCTTAACTGGTGATAAACACCTGAGGTGTTACAATGACCACGGATGTTGTACAACCGGAAATATTCTGGTATATTCTGTAGCGGGGGAAGGGCATGTGTGTACAAGAAAATACATGTGTAATCGTAGCCTATAAAAGGAGTACTCAAATACCAATAAAGAGATAGATCACTCGGCTCGATTACTAAGAGTTCCGTGCCTTGGTAATAGTGTTCTGAGAGTGGAGGCTAGACCTTCCGGACGTCATCCTTCGCCTGATTGCCTCGCTTTTATTTCACCTTGTCGGGACGACCGATCCCAACACAGGTTGTCTTCCTGTGCACAAGAAATTACAGACGGACGCAAACTATACAGATTAAATAATTTACAGAACTTCCAAACAGAGCCTAGTATGGGGTATGGGCCTTTGGTTCTGGTACTTCTATTACTGCATGTGCAAGGAAGCGCATGCAGTTGACACCATCAACAATGAGTAGGGAAAAAAAACGTGCATTGCAAATTAAGGCAGCTTGATTTTGGAACAATGGGTACGATCGAAGTAACTAGTGCATGCTGGGTGGATTGGTGGCCGGGCGCGCCCGCGCGCCATCTACCCGCTCTACTGCAGTAGTTTGTGCAGCAGTGCGGTGCGGAGGCAGTCCTCTCCCCGCAGCCCGGCCGCGGGTACGTCCACGACGACGTCCTGCACGGTGACGCCGCCCACGCGGCACACGGACGCGTGCTGCACCGGCAGGTCCAGCGCGCAGAGCGCGGCCATGAGGCGCGCGGGGGCATGGCGCGCCGCGGTAGTCATCAGGCGCAGCGCAGCGGTGTCCCGCCCGTGCATCCGCACCTCCAGCTCCTGACGGGAGCCACCAATAACCAAGGAGAGCTGGGACAGAGAGGCCGCCGTCGTCTGCCGCCTGGTCTCGGCCTCGAGCTGCTCGACGCGGAAGCGCAGCTTGGTGATGTAGCCAACGGCGTCGGCGAGAAGGGACGCCTTGTCCAGGCGAGTCACCGTGGGCACGGCGGCCCGGAGGTCGCAGAACAGGCGGTTGAGCCTGTCCCGCCGCTGCTTCTCGGCTTCCACGTGGTTGATTGTGGTGCCGGCGGCGCGAGAGCCAGATGCAGGCTTCCGTCCCCGCTTCCTCTCCGCGAGTGGTGCCGCCGCCGCCGCCGGCGGCAGGCTGGAGCCTGTATCCTGGTGGTCTTCATCCTCATTGTCTAGCACGTCGTCGTTGCCCAACAACCACTTCTCTAGGGCATCGCAGGACAGGGACTCGGGCGCTGGATTCTGGTGGTGGCCGTCGGCGGAAAAGGGTGTGACATGAAGCAGGGAGGGGTAACAGGGCGACAGGAGGTTATCCATTTGCACCGTACGTAAGCTCTAGTGCCAGTGTGCCACGCTCATCGTAATTATATATACACGGCATACGGTAGCTGATCTGTTCACTTCAGCCACAAAAGAGTGGCGCCTTAGGAGTTAAGATGCCCGCATGGAAGCCAGTTTCATGATGTTTTGAGCTACTGATTGATTAACTACGTAGATGTAGCGTCGTACGTGTTAGCAAAACCACATGCATGAGCCTTTCAAAAAAAAAAACACATGCATAAGTGGGCGTGTGATGTTCCGATGGGTAGTATTATATTACTATTCATTACAAATTTAGACAAATCAGCGAGCATTAGGGTGTCCTTGTACTTGTCATGGAGCTCGGCCCATGATCGACATATCGTCCCTCGCAGCACTTGTACAAGGGCATCGACGCATGAACAGTTTGACGCGCAGCATCCTGTGATGCCGGAGGCCCTTGCCCCACTTAGCTTGGGCAAATTACATGCTACCAAATACCCGAACCTATACCCAAACTACCCAAGAACAATTTTGGATAGTGACTCCATATACCCGAAATTAGTTTGGGTAATTTGGGTAAGACCTCGTGGTACCCGAATGACCTGTATTACATGATATCTTCAAAGCCCATCAACTCGTCAAGCCCACTACGCGGCCCAACAACCAGCCAACCAGCCTCCACTGTCCACAACTCCACATCCCTCGACCTATGTCGATAACCCCCGAGCGGAGCACCCCCAGCCCCAAGTCCCAAATCCTTGACCGAACCCTAGCCGCAGCCGGAAACCGCGCTGCCCCGCGGCCGCCGACGCCCGACACGAGAGGCGTCGCCCAGCGCGCGGCCAAGCCCCCGCCCCTATCCGATAGCCGAGCCCCCGCCCTCGCCCAACGGCTGACGCCTGCGTCCGACCCCAAGTCCCTGACAGTCGACGGCAAGACGCTACCCTCAAGGTTTCATGCCGCGACGCTACCCTCAAGGCTTCACGGTGCAGTCTTTGTGCCGACGCGATGTCTGGCTCCGACCCTATTTTTTTAATATCAGGTAGATCCTGTATACCTGAACCCGAACCCAAATTGTCAGGTAACACATTGTGATGATAATCTCCATAAAGAAAGGTAACCTGAGCTGATCCTTGAAACTTTCCATGATGTCAAGAGGATCACTGTTATTAGACACCATCAGATTCAGACTAAACCAGCAGGATGAAGCAAAAGGGTCATCAAAAACGAGATGAAAAATATCTTCTTCAACATTCAAGGAACAAAGGACACAATTATAGTTAGGAAGATGCATATTTCTTCGTTTAAGAAGAGCTCTAGTGCTCAAACAATCTTTCAAGATAAGCCAAAAGAAGAATTTCCTTTTATTTTGACAGGCTGACTTGCAAAGCCATTTGAAAGCTCTGGGACATGCTGGTGTCCAATGAGTTGCTTATAAGTGTTTCTAGAAGAGAAGCTTGAGAATCCCCAGGTAGCATTGTTGTGAAGAGAGGTAAATTGGACTGAGGAAACAAAGTTGTTTTAAAAAAACAATGGTGCCAAGGAAAAGGCACTTTTCCAGATGATGATAGAACCACTAGAAGCCCCATTGGAGGGTAAAGATTTAAAAAACAGCCAAACATAACCAGACAGAACTATCGGTGAAAGAAAAGATCGCATCATAGTTACTTTAACATACAGTCTTGAATACAGTTCCATTTTGTATCTGAGTTAAGACCTTGGATGTTCTAGCAAAGAACTTTCTAGTGCTCAACACCTCGAATGGTTTAGGTGTGGTGCACACTTATCAAACTTAGCACTTGCTAGGTAGCATTGAGGAGGCCCAAAGATCAATTGGAATCCACCGCATTCACAAAAGTGCTTGAAATGGAAGTGAATGGAGTGGTTGAGGCAGCATCGAATTTACAGGATGCATGTCATCAGGGAATATATACTATGTGCTCTGGGATTCAGCTAGGTTTTGCTGAAGAATAGGGCATCGGAGTGAGAAGTGCATCGGAGCAATAGCTCCCACTCCAATGGCTTTCAGAGAGCAACCAGAGGAGGTTCGTGAGCATTGGATTGTACCAATGCTTCGCATTGGAACATATGCTATAGCCTGTGTCAGCTAGGGTTTGCTCCATGTACAGAGCGAGCGGGTGAAGACCAGTCGGAGCAAAGGCTCCCACTCCGATGGCACTCACATAGGTTCTCAAAGAGTTTTTGGACGCATCTATGAAGGCAAAACATATGTTGGATGTCCTATGTTATTGAATGGTTTGTGGGGTTCTTTTGGAACCTTTATATGCTTATTAATATGAATGTGGCCATGTGGGTTACCTATCCAATTTGAATGCTAGAATGCGAATATGAAATGCCAAAAAGTCTTATAATTTGGAATGGATGGAGTATTTACTATTTACTAAGTTATGTTTGCATAATCATTTTCCTAGAACCCAAAATAGTTATATTACTATACATCTTGAACTCTTGTTGTGTCCATAAAATTGACACGTTTGGTTAAGGAAGTATGGCACGTAATAGCTCTATTGAAGTATTATCATGTGGAATGGATGAATTATCCAAATCTTCAACCCGTTTTTATTATTGGGCTTGTGATATTTTTCTTAGTAATCTATATATTAAAACATTTTTCTCTATGTGCCACGGCTGACAAAGAAGACGTACATATAACCTAATCCTCTAGTTATTTTTTCCCATGCGCAAAGACCGACATCGAATATATTAATAAGAGACAACCGGCAAGCAAAATAATGGGATTAGAGCTAGCAAATTATTTTTTTGATACTTTGTCGGTTGCAAAATATATCCCTATACGAACCTTAGGATCACACGAGAATTATTTAACCTGTCGGTTATCAAAGATCTTTTTAAAGAGGATACGCACAATAAAAATATTTTTCTGTTGGTTCCTTCGACAATGATATTATTTAACCTGTCAGTTTCTGACTTTTGTAAATAAATTGTGCAGTGGAAGTTCCGTGTGCGCCGCTGCTCAGGAAAATTCATCAGAAAAAAACTTTGTCGAAAAGTTGACAAGCAAATATATTTTCTCTCTATCACTTTGTCCCTGACAGTATTTACTTGCTGGGTAATCAACAGAATTGATATTTTTGACGGGTTTCATTACATCCATGTCGTGTTTTTCTTCGACACACAGGAAATTCCTGTTGCACTGGTGTCCCGTGCATCTGCGGGAAACCGTGGGCACGGCAGCGGCAGCGGTTGAGATCCTGTCCCTCTTGCCGCCGCTCGGCCTCACGGTGGCCGGTCGCCGTGTTGGGGCCTGGGGCCAGGCTTCCGTCCGCACTTCCGCTGCATCTCCGCGAGTGGCGGTGCCGGTTGGAGGTTGGCGCCATCATCGTCCTGGTCCTGGCCCGGGCCTCTCCGCACCATGCATCATATGCTTACGCACGTCACCCACAAACCATTGGTTGGGGACATCGCAGGGGAGCACATCAGCAGTTCAGGACTCATGAGCTCGAGCGCTTGGTTAACCGGCCGAGAGAAGGATGCAGCCGGATTGCCGGAACGGTGGGGCCGCAGACCGATGACGGCGAGGAGGAGGAAGGCCACACGTACAAGCTCATCCATTTGCTGTCGACGGATGTGACGGTAGCTAAGCCATGCATCACCCATGGATTACACTTCGTACTGTTGCCATGCTGTCCACGTGATCTACTGTGTTTTCGTTAACTAAAATTGTCCAACTACTATACGACGGAGAGGGCCGGTACGGTAATACGACGTATCTATCATGGACAAATTTGTCTAATATACAATGTCGATGGACAACTAAAATTGTCCATTTTGTGAGGTTGTCATCATGCTAATTGGACATTACCATTACGTTACTCTCATCGAGATGGTCACAAAACATATATGGAACGTTCAATTCGGAGTCGTTACGCCCCCGGGAGAATGCTCCAACGTTGGAAGTTGCAACGGACGTTGGAAGTTTCGAGGAAAAAAAAACCCACATGGGTGTTCGGATCTAGTCTCATAAACCTCTTTGTTCTTCACCACGTGAGTGTGGGATTCTTGCTGCGTTCTTCGGTCCGTGACAACCCAGACGATTTAGCCATAGCTGATGTGTGATTCGAGATCAATCCAGCGTAAACTCACTTTTTGACGACTTCATTAGAGAAGAATTACTTCGGCCCTGCTTTGTAGCTGAATCTCTTTGTCCTAGCCTTACTCTTCTTTTGCTCGCCATTACTTCTGGGTGGCGGTACGTACGGTGCTTAGAGCTTTTACCCAATGCTCAGCTTGCATCGTGCTCGGCGGGGACTCCTCACCACACATCATGCTTACGGCTTACCCAATCCCTAGGACGTCGCCCACAAACCATTGGTGGTTGGGGACATCGCAGGGGAGGACATCAGCAGTTCAGGACTCGTGAACATGAGTGCTTGGTTGGGACGACAAGGATGCCGTGGGAACGCTGGGCCGCAGGCCGAGAACGACGAGCAGGCTAGCGATGACAGTTGAATTTGTGGGTCATGGGCCCCTGTGAACAGTTTGCCGCGCTCCCACATTCTCTGTTGCTCATGGCCCAATGGACAAACTCTCCACGCGCCGATGGGGCCTGTCTAGCCATTCAGGCCATATACACTTGATTTTCTGTAGCACACGCTGCCGACGGATGTAAAGTTAGCTAAGCTATGCATTCACAGCCGTGTACATGGATCACACTTCGTACTGCTGTCCCATGTAATAATCTACTGCTTTCGTTGACTACGTACGATCTCCGAGTACTGTATGACGGAGAGTGCCGGCAACAGGACATCGCATGATGTCCTTTTCTAATATATGAACAATTTTCATGCATGGCTAGTACTGATTTTTTAGAAACGGTTTTCTTAACGATAACTAAGCAAGGTTCGCAGAATAACGTATTTATAGGGGATAGACAAATCCCTACTAGAAATTCCTCCTTACAAAGTATCTTTGAAATAGATTCCTAGGACCCACTATAAAATTTTAAATCTCACCAAGCTCTATGATTTTTACAT